ACACTTTTTGGTGTGAAAGGGCTTTTACATTTGCTATAAATAGAACTTCTTACATTAAAAACATCCAAGCCCTGCTTATATTTAAAAAAAAGTAACGCAAAAGTAACGTACCGCATTACGGTCCACAAAAAGTAACTAAGTACCGTAATTAGTAACTTTTTTTTAGGGATGCACGATATATCGGCCACCATATCGGTATCGGCCGATAAATGCTCATTTTTTCTGTTATCGGTATCGGCCTGATAAGAAAATTTGGCCGATATCTTAAAGCCGATAAATGGAGAAACGCAGTATTATAATGCATTACTTTTAAAAGTAGCTTCCCCCAACACTGGTATCGACACTTTCACAAGGCATATGAGGATAAACCGTGCACAGCATGTATTTATATGCGTCTGGTGGCCTCACCAGATGCGGTTGTTGTTCATCAGGAGGGTTTTGAGTCTCTTCAGCAGCGGAAACCCATCCAGTTTTCTGATCTCATTATCCGACAGATCAATGGTATCAAACTGATCGAGTGTGGCGCCCAGATTCTCCAGCACGGGGATCTTATAGCCTACAAACACACGAGCGGGAGTTATTTCTGCAGCAAGCCAGATACACGAGTGGTTCTCGCATGAACGCTGCTGCTCGACTCACCGCGGAGATCCAGCTCTCTGTCCCGCACGGGGTTCGTGTACTGCGCCGCCTGCTCGATCAGCTCCGCCGTCAGCTTCACCATGTCCGCCGCTGTCCGATCAACGAGAGATGTGTTGGGTCACAACTTTAACACAAACGTCTAGCATTCGCACACGCGCTGCCGCCAAACGGAAACGTCTGTTTTGTTCTTCTCGAAACAAACGCCACGTTTGCGAGAAAACTACAGCGCCGCCAGGCGGACGGGAGGAGAAATGCGCTGCAGCGTCAATGCATGGTACACAAAGAAAACACAGTTACATAAAAGAGAACACGTTTTTTAACCCTCCTGTTATGTGCACATTTCAACCATGTTTTTAATGTGTGACCCCAAATACTTAAATATATCAATAAATTACAGAAATTGACAAAATCATTTATGTACACTTTACCTACCCAATATTTTAAATATTTGTTGGACAAAACATAACTTTTTGTATATATATATATACATTGTAGCGAATCAGCTCATGGGGAAATATGAATAATTAACCATGGTTCATTTTCATAGAAAAAAAATAAGGGTCAATTTTTTTGAAATTGAGATGTATATATCATCTGAAGGCTGAATGAATAAGCTTTCCACTGATGTATGGTTTGTTAGGATAGGACAATATTTGGTCGAGATGCAACTATTTGAAAATCTGGAATCTGAGGGTGCAAAAAAATCTAACTATTGAGAAAATCATCTTTAAAGTTGTCCAAATGAAGTTCTTAGCAATGCATATTACTAATCAAAAATGAAGTTTTGATATATTTACGGTAGGACATTTACAAAATATCTTCATGGAGAACTAGGTGTGTTGCCCCCACAGCTAAGTAAACTATTGCTAGCTGTTCCAGTTTGGAACATGCTGCAGGTCGAGCCCCGTCTCGGTTTGAGAGCTGAGTGTGTTGCTCCCTCAGCTGAATAACTGCTAGCTGTTCCACCATGGGAACATGCTGTAGGTTGAGCTCCCTCTCCATTGAGAGCTGGATGTTCTCCCCCAGCTACAGATTTACTGCTAGCCACTCCAGCATTATAGCCGTAGATATAGCGTCTGGGGATACGCTATTTTTATCTATAGGCTGCCTTTTCAGGGTGCCACGAGAACCCCTAGAACGGTATGCAAGTGTAGTGCACGTTATGCTTTGCCCACTTTTCTAAAATCCACATAAGTGGTAAGTGTGCACGTTATGCTTTGCCCACTTTTCTAAAATCCACATAAGTGGTAAGTGTGCACGTTATGCTTTGCCCACTTTTCTAAAATCCACATAAGTGGTAAGTGTGCACGTTATGCTTTGCCCACTTTTCTAAAATCCACATAGCTGGTAAGTGCGCACGTTATGCTTTGCCCACTTTTCTAAAAATCCTGTATGGTAAGAGCTACGCGCAAGACTTCGTGCTCTTTTTGAGTGGTTTAAAACCCCGGTTCTGCCTTGGGCACCACTCCCCCTATGTATCCTCTGGATACCTACTTAGCAGGGTATTGCTACTAAGGATCTGTTGAGACAGTTCCTTCACCACAAGACAAACGTGCGGTAGCCCCTGTGTGACAGACCAAGACTAGTATGATTCTAGGCTCTTGGTCGTATTCCCTTAAAGGAATCTGTTTCTGATTCCAAGCCTTGAGCTCTACCCCGGGCCCAGGAGTCTGGCCCTAACAGGTAAGTATTTTGGGGTATGTAGCCTAGGCCTTTGGCCGTAGGGAATAACGTCACTGACAGCCGTCTTAACGTCCCAGGGGCGACTCCCATAGCAATATGGTAGAGTTGGTTCTTAGTGCTCGCCATGGTTCTGGCTTGCACTCCCCTCAGCATGGCGGCGTGGGTATACCGTTCCCCATAGCGACCCCTAGAGGACGCAGTTCGAAGTTCCCATGAAAGGGAACGTCTCGGGTTACTTATGTAACCATGGTTCCCTGAGTAGGGAACGAGACACTGGGTCCTCTAGGTTTCTTGGCATGCTGCGGACGCAAGCTTCAGACGAAGAAGTGAATGATGTGTAGCTCCCGGCGCCGATTTATACTGGAGTCGCACCGGTAGTGACGTCATGGCTGTCGCCGGCCAACGAGTTGGTGTTTTTTCAATGTATGCTTCAGACACGGGTCACGACGAGGCGTTCCCCATAGCGACCCCTAGAGGACGCAGTGTCTCGTTCCCTACTCAGGGAACCATGGTTACATAAGTAACCTGAGACGTTTTTGGCTATTGCTGCAAATATACCCCAGCGACTCAAGACTGCTTTTGTGCTCCAGGGTCACATTTGTTCCTCTAAATCACTCACATCATCCAGATATTGCCCTAACACTCACTCACAGCGTATCTTGTGGTCATTTTTCTTTAGACAAGAGAGTCAAATGTCTCCACAAGGACAGTAGGCCTAAAACCTGACATTTTTGACATTGTGGGGACATTTAGTCAGTCCCCATGAAAAAAGAAGTGTTATAATGAGAGTCATAACTTGGCAACATTTTCATAGGACTATCTCATATTTCATATATTGATCTATAATTTCTTGTGTTTCCCCAAAATGCCCGATTAACATGCCGTTTGTCCTGATGTCCTCTACAGAAGACATGTATGCAAATTATGCCCCGTTTCATTGCTGAGCAAAGCCATATTTTTGTTAATCTGCGATTCTAATAGAAATGATTTTAATGCACATGAAAACTCAGTGATGATGTGTACAGACAGAGCATGGTAATAAACCCATTCACCCAGAGCCCCGGCCACGGCCCCGGCCCCGGCCCTATGAACACAACAGTAGAGAAGAGTCCCTCAGGAGTCCACCAGAGCGCAGCACAGGCCTGTCAGTCTAAGCCAGTTTCCTCTGATCCTCTGTTAAATGTGTTGAAGTTATATCAAATAAACTGTCAGTGTGTAAAAGAAAACCACAGATGGTGTGATGAGCATTTCTTTCATTCCTCTGCCGAAACAGTCACCTCAACATGTTTCATTTCTAAATAATCTACAGCGTTGCATCTGATACTCTGACCAGATGTGGAGGGTCGTTTTGTTTTAGGAGAGTAAAAGATCAGATGAAGTAAAGCAAAAAAAAATAACTGATGAAGATGTGCTAAAAGTTCTCCAAGGCAGTTTTAATGTGGCCTTCATATCCTGAGCAATCTGAGGAGAAAGATCTAAGACAAAGTGAATTATTATGCATTAGACATAACTTAAGAATTCACAAACATCATCAGAGCAATCAAATGCACAAATTTAATCTTTAAATAATATCATAATGGCTAACACTTTAGATTAGGGAACACATATTCACTATTAACTAAGAGTTTTCCCTCAGCACACTCCTAATTCGCTGCTTATTGATAGTAAGGCAGTTGTAGTAGTAGTTAGAATATGGAGTGATCTAGAATATGGTAATTTTACTAATAAACAGCCAGTATTCTAGTAATATGCATGCTACTAAGCAACTAGTTAACAGTGAATGGTGTTCCCTAATCTAAACTGTTAATGAAATGCAATGATGAAGGTAATGAACGATAATGATCGAACAGCACAGGGTCATCATAGTTCAGGGCTCGTTAATAAAGCATTATGTTATGCATGATACTGGTTATTCTCAGTCCTGTGGTGTTTTCACACAAAGTGAGTCCAGAATCATTAAAGAGATTCACTGAAGCTTGAAGAGTTCAGTAACATCACGATGAGGAACATGTGCCACGGGTTCATCTGTGTGTGGACGGTATTAAGAGCAGCTGTGAACCTTCACTGCAATAATCATTGTGTGTGTGTGTGTGTGTGTGTGTGTGTGTATTCATCAATTGCCCTTCAGGACGTTGCAGTCAAAGCATCAGCGGGTCACTGCGGGTCAGACTCTGACAGTTCACCAAGATGCATTGCAAATAGTTGAGCCCAATCTAAATATTTACAAGCTCTGATATCAGAACATGGAAAACCGAAACAAACAAATGATCATTAGCACTTAAACGTGGACCACCAGCACATGCAGCCTCACTGTGGGACAGAAAAAAAGAGACTCGGCCACACATTTTCATCAAGGAAAGGTTTATATTCCAGAGCTTTGATGGAGATATTCCACCTTCAAATATTTAAAATACCATTAGATGCATTGTTAAAAATGTACAGTGTCATTATTCTCGATCATTCTTGTGATTTAAAAGCTTAATGTCTCTCTTAACATTGCAGTTTCACTTCATTCAGTGTGATGTCTTTGAATAAAAAAAAGAAGCAATTTATACATGTACTGCATGTTTTTAAAAAAAAAATCTTAAAAATATATCTCGTTTAAATCAAACGGCACCCTAACAGGGTTTCTTGAAATGAGGAGTATTATTTCTTTCATTAAAGGAAGAGTTCACCCAAAAACAAATATTTGCTGAAAATGCACTCAACCACAGATCATCCAAAGATGTAGAGGAGTTTGTTTCTTCATGGGAACAGATTTGGAGAAATGTAGCATTGCATCACTTGCTCACCAGTGGATGCTCTGCAGTGAATGGGTGCCGTCAGAATGAGTTTTCAAACAGCTGATAAAAACATCACAGTAATCCACACAATGATCAATTAGCATCTCGTGAAGAGAAAACCTGAAACCCATCAAGACGTTTTTAACAATAATTTCTGGTCAAAATATGAGTCCATAATAACGTTTCCTCCAGTGAAAAATCCATCTCCTGAAAAGCAAGGTTATGCATAGACGATTCATATTTTAGCCGGAAGTGATGGTTTGAAGTTAAAACTCCTTAATGATGGATTTTTGCTTCACAAGACATTAACTGATGGACTGCAGTGGTGTGGAGTACTTGTGGATTATTGTAATTTGACTCTCAATCTGACGGCACCCATTCACTGCAGAGGATCCATTGCTGAGCACGTGATGAATGCTACATTTCTCCAAATCTGTTCTGATGAAGAAGTAAACTCATCTACAGTTTGGATGGCCTGAGGGTGAGTTCATTTTCAGCAAATTTTCATCATTGGCTGAACTATTCCTTTAATAATCACAGCATAACTAGTTTAAAATGTACATTAGATAATACAACCAAAGAAATAGTATGTCAGTCCATTTGCCTCTTTTCTTGCTGTCATCCAGCCGTCATCAAACACGTCCGGCAGCAGAACTGACGAAAGAGCTTCTTCTCACATAGTCGGTTCGACTTGACCATCTCGCAGAATACTTCATCCGCTGGGAGAGAGAAAGAGAAAGTTCAGACTTCAGTCATGTCTCTTTATCAAACACATCGCCGATCTGAATGATCCTGGTGAGTCTGCCACCTGTCATGTCCCAGAGTTTCTTACATTTTTTCCTCAAACACACTTTTAAAAATAAAGGCTCCAAAAGGGTGTTTTTACAGTGATGCCATAGAAGAACCATTGCTGGTTCCCCAAAGAATGGTTCCCTTTCAGTGAACAGTTCATAAATCAACCATTTCAAAGAACATTACAAAAATTTAAAGAACCTTTTCTGCATTTGAAAGGTTCCATGGATGTTCAAGGTTCTTCACGGAACCATCAATACCAATAAAGAACCTTTATTTTTAAGAGTCTAGGATGAAACCCAAATGCCCTACACTTGAATCAGAAGTGCCACTAACAGCAGTGGACCATCTTCTGTCCCTCTTTCTCCTCTCTCGGTGATCTGACGGTCATGTTATGTAAGTTTGGACAGACAGAAGGTTCCAGAGGAATGAGGGGCAGCGGATCCTGGGGAAAGCATTGTTGCTGTCCTGCCAATGCTCTGCCTCACTCACATTTTTTCCCCAGCCTTTCACTCACGTACGACCCTCTTCCCTTTCATCTTCTGAAATCTTTTTACTCAATGTGCTCCCCTTTCTTCTCTGTCTAATGTCAAGTGTTTATAGCTGTGCAACAACAACCTCTGAGAAGATTTGAAGTCTGAAAGCCTCGTAAACACCCGGGTCAGGTCAGTTTGACACGACATCATCCATATGAATTACTCCATGGGACCGTAACAACAAAAAGCTCCTTGCGAAACTTTATGAAAATAAAAAATTCCATAAACGAATAAACAAAACAAGGTCAAATGGAAGTTAGAGAATACATATGAACGTTTTAGGCTTTAGAAACAAGCAACAATCTCATAAAAGCTGACCATGCTGTCAAAAACTTCTTTGCAACAAAATAAAACTGACCTATTATACTTAATGTCACGGTTCAGCTACTGTGAAGGAGCGAGGAACGAGGAGACGAGGGAATAACAATAACAGCAGTCTTTAATCCTCCAAATCACTGGGAACACAGAACAGGCAGGAACACACACACGGAGCACATGGAGTAGACGTTTAAGATCCGACAAGGAAACATGGGGCAGACTACACTATACACTTAACGAGGGAATTGGGGAAACACACCTGGGAGCAATGAAACCCAATCGGAACAGGAACAGGAAGGGAACCAAATATGGGCAGGGGAAACTAGGTCACGGAGCACATGGGGAGCAAAACAAACACACTGACAGTCCATATTCCTGACGGGACAGTTCATTAAAGTCAAACTCCTGTCATCATTCACTTACGCTTACGTATCATTTTTCTTCTTTCATCAAACACAAAATCAGACGTTTGACAGAATGTCTCAGTGGCTCTTTTCCACCCCACACAGAATAAAGAAAATCAGGGTTTGGAATATAAAGGGAAGTAAATGATATGTTTTTGAACAATTATTTAATTTTTTAATGAATTATCAGCCCGATGTACAAATAAAACTGGTTCTATTCAATGAATCAGTCACAGTAACTCGCGAATCAGTCGTAAACTCATGAGTCGTTGTTGTATATTATTTAATGCTCAATGCTCACGCAAAGCACTATTGACTGGTTGGGCATACGAGAGAAAGAGAAAGTTCAGACTTCAGTCATGTCTCTTTATCAAACACATCGCCGATCTGAATGATCCTGGTGAGTCTGCCACCTGTCATGTCCCAGAGTTTCTTACATTTTTTCCTCAAACACACTTTTAAAAATAAAGGCTCCAAAAGGGTGTTTTTACAGTGATGCCATAGAAGAACCATTGCTGGTTCCCCAAAGAATGGTTCCCTTTCAGTGAACAGTTCATAAATCAACCATTTCAAAGAACATTACAAAAATTTAAAGAACCTTTTCTGCATTTGAAAGGTTCCATGGATGTTCAAGGTTCTTCACGGAACCATCAATACCAATAAAGAACCTTTATTTTTAAGAGTCTAGGATGAAACCCAAATGCCCTACACTTGAATCAGAAGTGCCACTAACAGCAGTGGACCATCTTCTGTCCCTCTTTCTCCTCTCTCGGTGATCTGACGGTCATGTTATGTAAGTTTGGACAGACAGAAGGTTCCAGAGGAATGAGGGGCAGCGGATCCTGGGGAAAGCATTGTTGCTGTCCTGCCAATGCTCTGCCTCACTCACATTTTTTCCCCAGCCTTTCACTCACGTACGACCCTCTTCCCTTTCATCTTCTGAAATCTTTTTACTCAATGTGCTCCCCTTTCTTCTCTGTCTAATGTCAAGTGTTTATAGCTGTGCAACAACAACCTCTGAGAAGATTTGAAGTCTGAAAGCCTCGTAAACACCCGGGTCAGGTCAGTTTGACACGACATCATCCATATGAATTACTCCATGGGACCGTAACAACAAAAAGCTCCTTGCGAAACTTTATGAAAATAAAAAATTCCATAAACGAATAAACAAAACAAGGTCAAATGGAAGTTAGAGAATACATATGAACGTTTTAGGCTTTAGAAACAAGCAACAATCTCATAAAAGCTGACCATGCTGTCAAAAACTTCTTTGCAACAAAATAAAACTGACCTATTATACTTAATGTCACGGTTCAGCTACTGTGAAGGAGCGAGGAACGAGGAGACGAGGGAATAACAATAACAGCAGTCTTTAATCCTCCAAATCACTGGGAACACAGAACAGGCAGGAACACACACACGGAGCACATGGAGTAGACGTTTAAGATCCGACAAGGAAACATGGGGCAGACTACACTATACACTTAACGAGGGAATTGGGGAAACACACCTGGGAGCAATGAAACCCAATCGGAACAGGAACAGGAAGGGAACCAAATATGGGCAGGGGAAACTAGGTCACGGAGCACATGGGGAGCAAAACAAACACACTGACAGTCCATATTCCTGACGGGACAGTTCATTAAAGTCAAACTCCTGTCATCATTCACTTACGCTTACGTATCATTTTTCTTCTTTCATCAAACACAAAATCAGACGTTTGACAGAATGTCTCAGTGGCTCTTTTCCACCCCACACAGAATAAAGAAAATCAGGGTTTGGAATATAAAGGGAAGTAAATGATATGTTTTTGAACAATTATTTAATTTTTTAATGAATTATCAGCCCGATGTACAAATAAAACTGGTTCTATTCAATGAATCAGTCACAGTAACTCGCGAATCAGTCGTAAACTCATGAGTCGTTGTTGTATATTATTTAATGCTCAATGCTCACGCAAAGCACTATTGACTGGTTGGGCATACGACAGAGAGAGATCAAATATAATTAAATGGATTACCTAAATTCATTTTAATGAATCGATTATTAAGAAATGAGATGTTTGACTCTTTTCCACGCAACAAAGGTGGATTTTAAATGTCAAGCTCCTAAAAGGCAAAAAAGCACCTCTTTTGAAGTCAAACAGTTTGAGTGAACAGACCAAAATTGAAGTGCCTAACATCTCAGCAGTGCTGGCTGACTGAAGGCACGTACCGTTGTTACAGGTGGCGTTCATGATGCAGGTCCGGCTGACGAGGCTGTATCTGTCCTTACACTGCGTGCAGCTCGTTCCAGGACCCTGACAGCTCAAACAGTGCTCCTCACACCTGAAAATCCACAGCAGAACCGCACATGAGCTTCCGCTTTTTATGCCTATAAAGACTCGATTTAATGACAGCGACAGATTTCCTGAAAACACGGAAGTAGCAGGCGATCAGAACAGGAGCATCATGACATGAATATGTACGGCCGGGACTGATGCATCAATGCCAGTGAGTGACAGCCATCAACAGAGCCAGAGCCTTGAATCATAAGGTGCTGCTTTAGTACTAGTAGTTTGAAGGAAAATGTAAGACCAAGTAAAGAAAATTTAAGGAATACACTGAATGAAACAAAATATGGTCTCTAAACGTAAATGTCCTGTATTAGCAAAGTTTTGTCTAAAGATAATTTACTTGAGAAGCAAAATTACATAAAATAATAAGTCTTGTTTTATGAGAAATTTATCAAAATAAAGTGAGTTTATGATTAAAACAAGAACAAATATCTGCCAATGGGCTCCGAAAAATACACTTAATTCAAAGGACAAATCCCCATTAACAGACGTTTGTTCTTGTTTTCTGCATAAACTCACTTCATTTTGTTCAGTTCCTCAGAAAACAAGACTTCATATGTTCAATTTGCATCTCAATTAAATATTTGTATTGGAAAAGAAGATAAAAAAAAAAAGATTGAGGAAGATATCACATTTTTGCAGTGCATGCAACATCTAATGCCATGACTTTATATGAATTTAAGACGTTCTGCTCTGATTTAAGACCTTTTAGGCCTTCATTTATGGAAGTGCAAATTAAGACTTTTTTATACATTTTTAAAACCCGCAAGAACTCTTCAGCATTAGTTAGGCTACTTTAGTCAACTCTTGTTCTAATCAAGAGCTGAAGATGATACGAGTCAAACTGTGCCATAAAACAGATCCTGGATCCTGGAGAGAAACACTGAGCTCATGTTTATGAGCGTGTTAATTTAACTGCCCATTTCATCACCTCAGCACTCTGCACCTACTAGTCCAGGTCATTCGTTTTCGAGTTCAGAGAGATCAGGTATCCTGATGTGTATCTGATATTGATGCTGCTGCTACATCTGACAAATATCTCCGTTTACTTCATTTCTATGGCATTATTAACCTAATATTAGTGAGTGAATCCCCTAAATTCTAGTTTTGTGTGCGTATGGAACAGAACTCACTCTCGAAATATTACAGCAACCGAAGACTCGTTATGTCCCGCAATTTTAACTTAACCACCGTCGACAGAGCTGTCGCATTTTGTATTTGTTTAGAGAGCGCGCTCTTGAAGGGTTGCCATGTCCACTTATTTTAATTGCTTATTGTTTGGGCTCAGCTAAACAAGCCATTCAGATTATGGAGTTCATAAAGCAGGCACGCGCAGGTCGGGATATTTCAGTATGTGGCATATTTCCAAGCTTGGATTTATTATTGTCTTGTTCTTGTTTGCTGTTTTTTATAGCAAGATCTGGCAACACTGTGAGTCAAAATATACCTGGTTTACTGTGATTTTTTGTGTCGCAATTCTGATATGTGGTTAAATAATGTCGTTAACAACTACTTGTCATGTGGCCAAAACGGAGTAAAGGATGACAAAATTGAAATTTCGGAGTGAACTGTTCCTTTAATGCGGATTCAAAAATTTTGAAATTTTACTGGTATAATATAGCCAACTGAAATTTAAGTTTGTTTTTGAAAGAAGTCTCTTCTGCTCACCACGGCTGCATTTATTTGATCAAAAATACAGTAAAAACAGTAATATTGTGAAATAATTTTGCAATTTAAAATAACTGCTTTCTATTCGAATGTATGTTAAAATGTAATTTTTTCCTGTGATTTCAAAGCTGAATTTTCAGCATCATTCCTCCAGTCTTCAGTGTCACAAGATCCTTCAGAAATCATTCTAATATGCTGATTTGATGCTCAACATTTTTTTATTAATATCAATGTTGAAAACAGAATTTAAAAGAACAGCATTTATTTCAAAAATAAATCTTAAAACATTATAAATGTCTTCACTTTCACTTTTGATCTATTTTAATGCATCTTTATAAAAAAACATTAATAAGCTTAAAAAAATCTTACTGACCCCAAACTTTTGAACAGTAGTGTGTGTGTACAAAAAAACAACAGTTGCGTTCGTGCAAAACAAGTTTTTACCCTCATTTCAATGTTTATTAATCTTCAAGTAAAGTATGTGCGACTGACAACAATGAAAATCTTGTATACAGGCCTAGGCCCATTATGATTTGAAGGGGCTATTTGATCATTATAAAATAAAATTGAAAAAAATGACAGCTCTCTATGGTAATGCATAACATCAGCATATGTGTGACCTCAGTGCTCTTATGCCGTATTTACTATCTGTACTTTATCATTTGCTGTATATGAGTTCAAACTGAATGCCTTCCAGTGTGGGTTGGTTACCTCAGGGCCACACTGATCAAAAATACAGTAAAAACAGTAATATTGTGAAATAATTTTGCAATTTAAAATAACTGCTTTCTATTCGAATGTATGTTAAAATGTAATTTTTTCCTGTGATTTCAAAGCTGAATTTTCAGCATCATTCCTCCAGTCTTCAGTGTCACAAGATCCTTCAGAAATCATTCTAATATGCTGATTTGATGCTCAACATTTTTTTATTAATATCAATGTTGAAAACAGAATTTAAAAGAACAGCATTTATTTCAAAAATAAATCTTAAAACATTATAAATGTCTTCACTTTCACTTTTGATCTATTTTAATGCATCTTTATAAAAAAACATTAATAAGCTTAAAAAAATCTTACTGACCCCAAACTTTTGAACAGTAGTGTGTGTGTACAAAAAAACAACAGTTGCGTTCGTGCAAAACAAGTTTTTACCCTCATTTCAATGTTTATTAATCTTCAAGTAAAGTATGTGCGACTGACAACAATGAAAATCTTGTATACAGGCCTAGGCCCATTATGATTTGAAGGGGCTATTTGATCATTATAAAATAAAATTGAAAAAAATGACAGCTCTCTATGGTAATGCATAACATCAGCATATGTGTGACCTCAGTGCTCTTATGCCGTATTTACTATCTGTACTTTATCATTTGCTGTATATGAGTTCAAACTGAATGCCTTCCAGTGTGGGTTGGTTACCTCAGGGCCACACTTGACCTCTGTTTTACGGCTGTCTGATCTATTTGCCTGCAGTGAAGCTCAACCGGACTCGGAGAAGAACCCGTTTCTACTGCAATCACCATCTGTGACCTTCATAAAAGCCTCTATTTGCTTGAGACAGCGTTCATAAAGCAAAAGACTGTTGATTCATAAATTGTGGAGTGCAGAGGCGTATCCTCTCCCGTGGCCCTTATGCTGCACATTACAGGAATCTAAAACACTGTAAATCTCAGAAGATACACTTTCTTCTACTGTTTCTCTCTGGTATTATCTGAAAAACCAATTGCTTTTCGATCATTATGCAGATAAAAAAAACTATAAAGATAATGCATAAACTAAAAAATAACTTAAAATATAATTTATATAGACAATATATATTTATAGAATTCAATAATATAAGAATATAACTTGCATATGAATACAAAATAAATAAATATTATATATTTATTTAATATTTGTATGTAACTTATATAAACAGTAAATACAATATACATATATATATAATTCTTGTGTGTATATATATATACACATATAACAGTAATTTTATATATACATTTATAGAACATAAGAATATATAATAATAATATATAAGAATTCTATAAATATATATTGTGCATATAAGTACATAACATAAATGTGTGTATATATATTATATATTTTAGAAATGTGTATACAACATACAAATATAAAATTCTTATATATTACAAAATATTATTATATTAGAAATTATATAAAAGACATATATAAAAATTAATTTGGACATTTTAGATTAAATTTATTTTATATTTCTATATAACTTTAATACACAATTACAATTAATTCTTAAATAAATAAATACAGTAAGTTAGTTTTATGTATCATCTAAATGATGGTGGAGAATATGATCATCAGGTTTTCAGCTTGAGTGCCAGTGTCATTAAAAAAGAGAGACAAGAGATTCTCAAACTCTTATGTCAACAACAAAACACATTTTCAAAGTGATTCATAATATCAGACCTCACTGTGTGTGTGTGTGTGTGTGTGTGTGTGTGTGACTGTGTGTGTGACTGTGTGTGTGTGTGTGTGTGTGTGTGTCTGTGTGTGTGTGGGTGTGTGGGTGTGTGACTGTGTGTGTGTGTGTGACTGTGTGTGCGCGCGCGCATGTGTGTGTGTGTGTGTGTGTGTGACTGTGTGTGTGTGGGTGTGTGACTGTGTGTGTGTGTGTGTGACTGTGACTGTGTGTGCGCGCGCGCATGTGTGTGTGTGTGTGTGACTGTGTGTGTGTGTGTGTGTGAGACTGTGTGTGTGTGTGTTCACATTTCTGCCGGAGAGCAATAAGAAATAATTCCAATGTAAATACCAAGCACTCAATTCCTTTACCAAGGCTACAATTCCAACAACTGCAATTTTAATGAGATGGATAATCAGAAGCTAAGAACGCAAACGTGTACAAAAAAATGAGAAAAGCCATGATGACATTACAGTTGGAAACAAAGACAAAGAGGATGACCTGACAGAAAGATGTTAGTTTGTAACTAATCTTAGTTAGTACTTGAAACTGTTTTACATTTTTTATGAGAACTGTAATGTGACCTTGAAATATGAAACATCTTTAATCTTAAAAACCTAAGAAAAATGTTTAATTAAATGCACTTGCATTTTAAAGCATCATAGGTGTGCTCCAGCTGTCACTTTCAAAACTTCATTAAATGCACATTCACACTGCAAGAGCCCAACTGGTCACACAGTAGTGTGTGTGCGTCTGAATGCAGCAGTGCAGTGGTCATGTGAGACGTGTGGAGGACTCACTTGCGGCACATCCTCTGTGTGAATCCCGCCGCCTCTCCTCTGTAGTATCCGGGAGCACAGGATCGGACGCACCGCCACTCCTGCTGTAAGTAGTCCGGCGCACACTGAATGCACTCCTCCAGTCCCGGACCTGCAAACACAAGCACACCGTTAGCTCAGTTCTCCGTTATTTACATTTGCAAGTCATTGGGATCTTCACCTGTGTTTGGGATGGCTGGTGACAGAGGCATGATGTTAACAATATGAATACGATGACCTGATACAATGTTCTGTCAGCTGAAGATCATAGAAAGGAGACTTGTCTACTTCCAGCTCTCTGGCATAATCAGCCCATCTCTAAGATTAAATCATTGTTACAAGAGACTTTCTCCCACAGCAGGTCAACCGTGTGATCTCTTATAAAGGTGAATAAAAGGTTATTTTATTCAGCAAGGATGCATTAAGTTGATCAAAAGAGACAGTAAAAACATTTATGATGTTACAAAAGATTCTATTTCAAATAAAAGCTGTTCTTTTGAACTTTCTATTCATTAAAGAATCCAGAGGAAAAAAGTATTATGGTTTCCACAAAAATATTGGGCAGCACAACTGTTTTCAATATTGATAATAATATAAATGTTTCCTGAGCAGCAAATCAGCATATTAGAATGATTTCTGAAGGATCATGTGACACTGAAGACTGGAGTATTGATGCTGAAAATTCAGCTTTGATCACAGGAATAATTACATTTAACAATATATTACAACAGAAAGCAGTTATTTTAAATGTTAATATTTGACAATATTGCTGTTTTTACTGTATTTGTGATTAAATAAATGCAGCTTGGTGAGCAAAAGAGACTTCTTTCAAAAACATCATAAAATCTTACAGAAAAAAACATTATCTGAAATAAATATTAACTGTACTAGCTAGTTGCAAAAGTAGCATTTCTCAACTTGATGTACTAAAATGCAACAAAATGACTAAAATGTCAACTTATAACAAAATATAAAAATAATATCTCATTCAAAATAATACCAAAATCTATAATAGTATATCAATAATACTACTGAATGAAATAAATGAGTATCTTTTTCCATCCATCAGTTTAGATGGAGTATGTTGCAGTGCATTGTGGGATTGTCGTCTCCACAAATGAAGCATGCCATGCTGCAAGTATTTGGCAAAGAAAAATACTTACATTTGCTACTTTATGTCTTAAAATGCTGTCTATCTAGACATCTCACTAGGGTTTTAAGACAGAGACCAAAACAGACACATACATTCAGGTTAATCTGTCAATTTATTTAACTCTGCCCTGCTGTGTCTACAACAGCTCTCCACATTTCAGCGAACTTGGAACGCAAACAACTCAGGGCTTATCAGGCGTCTCTGGTGATTTGGCATAATGAAGTAAGTTAATTAAGTTTGATGGCTGAGCAGCAAGTGATACAGGACTCGTTCACTCCTGCTGTCCTCAAAACAATACAAACACTTTACTCTTCAGTTTCTCACTGTGAACGGACTGGTAAGCAAGTTAAACGCATTCAACTATAATCTGATCTCATTCGTCTGCTTCTGCATTCAGTTCATTTCATATTCTGTGAGTATTATTTGAGTCTGCTCACATCCGTGATGTCCTGTGAGAGTACTGCACTGATTCTGAATGAGACTTGTGATGATATATCAATGTAAATGGGGGTTTCTCGACTTGTTCCTCAAGGTCTGCTACAGTTTACCAGCCTGTTATTTTCTAGTAATCCTGACGACCTTGATTAGCTTGTTCAGGTGAGTTTGATCAGAGCTGGAGTTAAATTTCGCTAGACCTTGAGGGCAAGAGTTGAGAAACTCTGATGTAAATCATAAAACCGAGACATTATCAATTCATCAGTATTGAGCTTTAATGGGGTCATATGACTTTGCTAAAAAATAATATAATTTTGTGTATTTGGTGCAATGAAATGTGTTTATGCGGTTTAAGGTTTAAAAAACACATTATTTTCCACACACTGTACATTATTGTTTCTCCTCTATGCCCCGCCTTTCTGAAACGCATCGATTTTTACAAAGCTCATCGGTCTGAAAAGCGAGGTGTGCTCTGATTGGCCAGCTATCCAGTGCGTTGTGATTGGCCGAATTCCTCAAGCGTGTGACGGAAATGTTACGCCCCTTAACATACTGTGATGCCGTGTCCCGGTGCGATGAGACAAAACCAATAAAACCCATTATAAATGAGGCATTCGTTGCATCCAGTGGGGACATAATTATGGATTATAATGACTTATACTGTCTTTTTACGTGTTGCGTTGCATCGCGCCGCGTAAACATAAAACCATGTCTGCATTTGTGATCGGAGAAACTACAAACGCTACTCTACACTGCTCAAAACTCACGTTTGAATCATCAGTGGCAAATTATTTAAATATGAAAGTGTATTTACAGGCTGTGAGTCAGCATTATTTGTCAGAACACTGGTATTGTAAGCTACTCTCCCAGGAAACAGTCCTTGTCCTCCGTAAAATGCGTTGCACACATCTGAATATTTGGGTTGAACTGTTCTGGAACAGTGTTGTAAATACAACTTAACCACTGATTTCTAGTTGTGTCCTCTTTTGGAAGACCCAAACAAAGTAGTTTTGCTTATATAACAAAACACACAGTGTCTTCACGACATGGCAGCGGCAGCAACAATGCTACAGCGAGAATCAAAGTTATGCCTTCTTTCTTTGCGTGAACATTTGGGCGGCGTTATGCAAATCTTCCCACATAGTGATGTAGACATGTGGGGGCGTGTTTAAATGAGGCGTTTTAGGAGGGCGTGGATGAGTCTTAACTTTTATAAAGAATATCTCTTTGGGTTTGAGACTTTAGTCTTTGCAACTTTAGGGATCTTATGTATGCATGCACATCTTGTAACACTCCAAAAAGAAAGGAAAACGTGAAATCGCATTATATGACCCCTTTAAGATACTACTGTATACTACCGTGCACAGGAAGTTTCTTCACCGGATGTCAACAAAACATGGACAGGCAAAATTTAGTCTGAAATACAAGTTAGTCAATCTGAAATTCTTGTTTAAACTGCTGTGTAAGTTTGTACTGTTCTGAATATAATGACTGCCAACATTTACATACACCTTTTTGTAATGCAAAACAAAATAATCGATATATATGTATGAAAAATGACCTAACTGTGTTGTGTCTATGGTATTACTAAAGTAAATCATATAGGGATTGGATGGGATAGGATAGGATTGGGGTGGGATTGGGATGGGATAGGATAGGATAGGATAGGGATAGGGATAGGGATAGGGATAGGGATAGGGATAGGGATAGGGATAGGGATAGGGATTGGGATTGGGTTGGACTCACCCATACACACTTAAAAATAAAGGTTCTTTTTTGGCATCAATGGTTCCATGAAGAATTTTTAACATCCATGGAACATTTTCATTGCACAAAATGTCCTTAATAGTGGAAAAGGGCTCTTTATATTATTAACATGTTGACACACTAATAAAAATGGTTCTTTTAAGAACTGATCACTGAAAGGTTATTTGGGGGGTTGGGGTTGGGGTTGGGATGGGATGGGGGTGAGATGGGATTGGATAAGATAGGACGGGACGGGACAGGACAGGATAGGATAGGATAGGATAGGATAGGATTGGAATATGATATGATATATGATATGATAGGATTGGGATGGGATGGGATAGGATTGTAAATGGGGTGGGATTGGGATTGTAAATGGGGTGGGATTGGGATGGGATGGGATGGGATGGGATGGGATGGGATGGGATAGGATAGGATAGGATAGGATAGGATAGGATGGGATAGAATAGAACAGAACAGAATAGAACAGAATGGAACAGGATAGTATTGATAGGATGGAATAGAATAGAATATAATAGAATAGAAGGTGACCTGTGCATGTGGAGCAGGAGATGTGGCAGGGGCTGCACTTCATTTCTTCCAGGTTAAAAAATGTTCCATTGGCACATTCTGGAACGCAGGTCATTCCTGCCAGACTTTAATCAGGAAAAAGAGAAGAAGAAGAAGAATAAACCCATACAGCAGTCCACAGCAATATTTTCACAGCTTTAAAGAGCAAACATCATGAAAAGCAAAAACATCAGTTATTATATAAAAACTATCAGCACATTAACATATGACTGCCTACAATTACATGACTTTTATGCACCTTATTATTACCTGTTATTATATATAACAACAGTGGACTTTCCATTATGTTAAAGAAATAAATAATAAAGTATTTGAATATTTGGAATAGTACATTTATGTCACTTAATGTGCATTATTTACCAAATGATACCTTATTTCCAAGTTCTCACTGTACCAACATGCACAAAAAAAGGTAAATCAAATAGTCAATTGTTAGTATTTGTTTGATAAATAATCAAAATGTCATAATTGCCACAAACACTATTGCCTCTAACTACAAACTAGTCACACTAAGAGTAAAACTAATTATATATTAGTAATAATAATTGTGTCAGACTCTGTTCCGTGTTTTGCTTCCTATATTTCCTTTTGCCCTTATTTGGTCTTCCTGTTCTGTTTCCCTGATTAGGTTTATTTGTTCCAGGTGTTTCCAATGTTCATTACATCATTGATTTCAGGTGTTCCTCATTGTGTCCCTCCTCTAGTCCTGTATTTAATGGTTTCCTGTTTTGAGTTCGTTGTCCGCTATTGTGAATGTCTGTTGATGTCTACCTCCTTTGCTACGTGTGTTTTCCTGGTTCCCTTGATATAATTAAAATCCCCTTATTGATGTACTCCTGGTCTCCTCGTTCCTCGCTCCCTCACAGTAGCACCGTGACAAATTGTTATATTATAATAATAAATAGAGTATTTTAATATTTAGAATAGCATATTTATGTCACTTTAATTTTTGTGTTATATTATTAACCCTTAAAAGACATCATTTATTATATTTCAAGTTCGCATTGTAACCAACATGTACAAAATAGACAATTAAATAAATAAGTGTTATTATTTTTTGTTGAACAATTAATTGCCATAATATCATAATTGTGACAGCTCTATTTCCAAAATCTGTATGTGCGGCTCCTTTAAGCTATTAGTGCTCTAAATGTGGCACAGACTAAAACTAGTGTCAAACTAAATTATTATTATTAAAATATTTTCAAACAAATCAGAGTTACCAGTGATTCCCAATCCAAGAAAACAACTCTGCAGTCTTCTTCACGGTGGCTTGATCTAGTCTTGGCTAAAAGAGCTGTTTTGTTATGGAAGTGGGGTATTGTGGGTCAGTGGTTGAAAATGACAGGCATTTCAATAATCATTTGAGCAAGTGTGGCGCAGACAATATGAATCTAAAAGACTCCAGGCATTTTCTCTCGATTTGCGCTTCTAAACATAGCGCATCACGATATATAACCCTGACAAGATTAGATGCCGTCAAGAGGTCACGGCGCAAAGCGTGCTGCGTTTTACCCTTCACAAGACCAGACTGCCTTTCAAGAACTAAAGCCCGGTCTGTCTCAGTACGGCTCGTCTAAACCACAGCAAAGACAGCATGCATAAAGATGACCAGATGTACCCTAGATGTTCTGAACCCACACAAAACCCAAAAGCCTAACTTCTTACGCTATTTCATCTGCACCAGCGTAAGGCTACAGCTGTCGTGAGAATTCAGAACTCCATAATTTTGTGCATGGAGTGCAAAGAGGGGTCACAGCTCTGCCTGTAAAACTCGATCGGCTGCAAGAGACTTAAATGCTCAATAGCCGCAAACATTTGGTTTTATTCATGCTGCAATCAAGCAACAATCCAGTGACAACTTTCAAACATTCTTGGGCCGCATCTCGACTGCCACATTCTGAGAGCAGCGGTTCAACACGGGACATGAAGCTGTGCACGTTTTTCTCATCAGGTTGTTTTGTGCAATTGCTGAACAGTTGAAACTTGAACAGTTTTGATGTTTATTAGTATTACCTGATGCCATCTTTACAGGCCGTGCATCTGTCTGCATCTCGCAAGCATTTCAAACAGTTCTCATGACACTTCAGACAACGTCTCTGGCCTGGAAAGAAAGAAAATGTGATGTGAAGATCACATAGACAATCAAAGAAAGGAATGCATGAACATAAAAGTAGTTCTGTCAGGACCACTAGAGTCAAAGGTAATTGACAGTTTGCATACGGTTTGGATTGGCGGCATTGTTCTGTTCTGGGCAAAAACTCCCTGCCCATTAATGCAGCTTAGCATGGCTAAGAGGAGGGAGAGCAGCGATAAACCGTTACACCCTGTCCTAACTACATGTGACGCGACAAGTTTCCAGCGACAAGCAATTTGGGTGCCCACACCAGACGCGAAGCGACAGAATCAATCAAATATCACAGCCAATCAGAAGCGTGTGTGGGCGGGCTCACTCTAGAAGCGCACTGCACTCGCAACTAAATGGAGACCTTTATAATCTAATTCATAAATATTAAAGCTTTTTAACATCATTAAATGTACATACTGAGTGACTGATAACATATTTGTTATGGAATGCACTCGTTGGTTCGCAGTGAGTTCACAGTTTTAACGGACATCTTTGCTTTAATTTATTTTCAAGATCTGATGTAAACTATCTGTTGTTGCTTTCAGTATGGCTATAAGGTCACACAAAATTATATTTAAACTCATATTAGACACTTTTAACATTGAATAAAGCACATAATCACCTGAGATTATCTACTGTCATATGTTGTTGTTCCAGCCGCAACGTCGCGGAAATAGAAACCGTTTCTAAATTAGAAATTTTGCGTGTCGCGGCAAGTTCTGACTGTGGATGATAGGAGGAGCTGGGGATGGAGGGGGGTAATTAGCTCCTGAGCAAAGCGATAAGTTGCTGAATGATACTGAATGGACCTTATGTTAGGATGTAGTGATAGGAGTATTCCGATAGGTAGATGTGGACCATGCAAGCTTGACTGACGTGACCTGCCAGAACTAACGCTACACTTGATTTCAATCAAATGAATTAGGGATGCACCGATATGAAAATTTTGGCCGATACCGATAACCGATTATTCTTTATTTTTGAAAGCCGATAACTGATATGTTGGCCGATAAATCTATATCATTTGTATTATTTGTTTGATAATTAATCAACAGATAAAATGGCATAACTATCACAACAAACATGTAAACTAACTACAAACTATTCAAATCAAGAGTAAAACAAAATATACAATAGTAATATATTTAATAATAGTAATAATGACAACAAATATAAGTTGTTTTATTATTATTATTATTAGAAAGTGAACTTTCCATTATATATTACACAAATAAATAATTAAGTATTTTAATATTCGGAATAGTTTATTTGTCATTTTAGTATATTTGTCAGGTGCATTATTTTATTAACACTTTAAGAAAATAATACATTATATACAAGATAACATTGTAACCAAAATCCACAAAAACAATTAAATTAGTGCTGTCAAAATCAGCGTTAATGCATACAATACAATTTTTCAGTTTAACGCGTTAAAAATATTGAATGCAATTAATGCAGGGGCGGAGCTAGGGTTGGCCACCCCACTCACAACTGCTGCTTCGGTCTCTTTTTTCTTGACAAGAATTGCGTTTATTTAGAGGCAGAACGTCTTTACAACCTCATCAAATGGCAGACTTATTAGACACACACACTCCAACTTCACCTTAGCACCAGGCGCGAGTCAAACGAGTGCAGAAAAGGTACAGGTGACGAGGAGCTTCAGTAGAACAGTGAACTGCGGTCAGATGAGATGTTATCAGGCCATATGTCAGTAAAAAACAATTTTCCTGACCTGTCAGCCGTTATACTGTGCTCATAGCATGTGCTCTTCTGCTGCACACACAAATGTGTCGGAGCGCACTGTAGCCTATATCATTTCATATTAAAGCACAAATGAAACTATGAGCACGCAATGTCGTTTTGTCATCAGTTGAGTCATGAAGTTACCAAAAAGGAGATTAAAGCTGCCTCAAAACTGTGCATGCAAGTATGTGTTAATGCATTGTGTGAGCATGTGTCTGAAATGCAGTCGTTTTCAAAACTGTCCTGGAGCAGCAGCACTGTCTCCCTCATCTAACACACCCGATTCAATTCATCAGCTCATTATAGAGACTTTAAGAGCTGAAGAGAGTCAGAAAAGGTAAAGAGTTGTGAGAAAACATGATGCGTGTCAGATCCGCGTCACGTCCAGCAGCAGCAGCTCTTAAAGAAGCCAAAATAACCTCATAACCAGCTGCTGTGACGTCTGTTCATCAAAGAAAAAAAGAGGAAATCAATCACTTCTAAGGGATTCATCTATGTGTAATTTAGAATTTAGTGTTTGCAAATTGTCTGTATTTCTGTATATTTCCTGCTGAAGGGCACAGGCAAACATGACTTTTATTATAATGGGTTTATGTGAAGATTGTTTTAAGTTCGCTTAAATTAGAAGTTATTTTTTTAATAAATGTTAGTCCAATAATGTATAAATAAAAGTCTAATAAATGTTAAAATTGATAGCTCTTAATTATAATGTAATGTTAAATGGATAGTCAATGTATACTCGCCTTCAGTCATAAAAAATATGCAAATATAAAAAATATATTGTCTTTGTTGTTTCTACATTAACTTTGAAGATTGAATGTGTAATTATTGCAATATAAAAGTATATTTAAAAACTTTATTCATTCAGATTAATGTCAGAAAAAAATGTGATCAAGTAATTTTTTTTAATCGATTGACAGCACTAAATTAAATTAATCAAAATAATCCTTCTTAATATTTTGAATTATTTTTATTTTCCTTTTTTTTTTTAAGTTTTCATTTAAATTTTAGTTAAAGACTTGGAGAAAATAAAAAGATATTATAATTATATATTGTAGTTTTAAATATTGTAGTTATAAATGTTTTTATTATTTTTTTTTCAGTTTTAGTTATTTTACTACATTTTACTAAGTTAAACTAAACAAAAATCAGAAATGTTGCCTTAGCAACTAGCTGAAAGAAGTTAAGTTTTTAGTTTCATTTTTTAATTTCAGTTAACGTTCATTTTATTACAATGAATGAAAGCTGCAAACTATCACAAATTGCAAACTATAGCCTTATGAGCCAATTATATTATGTTTAAATTTGCCTGCTTAGAGCAGTTTTACTCAGCATAGCGAATATACAATATGTTTATAAAGCCTGTCAATCACATGAATCACACACACTCAAAACACTGATAACTGATTCACGTGCCAGTGGACTGAATGCATGTGCACTGATTGGAATGAGGGTGGTGTAAAGAGCCTTTAGCACTTCAGCGGCTTTCCTGTGATATTAAGAAAGGTTTTACAATGTAACAGAACCCTGTTGCTGAATCCAGAATGAATTCTCATTTATTTGAAGCTCAAATGTTTTCTGAACAATTATCATTTTAAACCACCAACCCCAATAACCAGCCATCTCCCACCAGTGAGAGAAATATCTGGGCATCTGGATGCAATTAATACTCGGGTATGTGCAAATTTCATCCATTCACGCTGCCACTAAACACATCTGTTCCAGACGCACGGCTCCGAATGTGTTCAGCAGCTGAGGACGAGCGCGCAAACAACCATAAACCAACTCAAACTCTCCGTCCTCATACGCATCGCAGACGGACTGTGAAAGACGCTCAATCATCAGTCTGATTTGTGGAGATAACTAGAGCTCATCTCCATCGCAGCAGCTGTTATCAACAAGACGGGAGGGACCATAAAGCCGCAGCATCACACATGAAGCAGAATCATAGAAAGCACTGACTTCTTTTGCTCTGCGCACACGTGTGCCACGCTTCACCGCTGACTAAAACAAATAACACTTTGATCTGTGATTATATAGGCTGTGTTTTAATAAATAATAATTCTGATACTATTTATTCACATTGCAAACCTGTATGATGTTAATGCAAAAGTAGAAGAATCTGCTCAGACTGCTCAGAGTTTTCACATCCGTTAGGCTTCAAAAATGACAAAAAACACTGTAAATAATGGAAATATTTTCATATTTAGATGAACTATTTGAGGCTTCATTTGAGTGTTTTCGATGTTCTTTGGCCAAATTCAAAGGAAGAATCTTATACATCCTTTACAGAGAACACAATCCCATAATGCACTCAGACAAGATTTATAAAAAAAAAGGAAAGTATAAGAAATGCTGCTTATAAATATTATCGCGTTTAAGTATGTAATATTATTGGAAAATATACATTTATAAAAAAATTTAAATATAAAATATATATACATTCTATTGTAAATATTTCATAAATTTTGTTTAATATTTTAAAAAAATAATTATTATTAAAGTTATATGGGATTGAACAACATGTGGGCGAGTAAATAACGACTCAATTATCATGTTTGGATGATCTACTCTAGTAAAGCATGGTAAGCACACCACCAAACATAGGTAGCATAAGAGACCTTATTTTGTACAAATTCAAAGGCAAAACTGTGCATCCTTTTAATCCTTTAAAAAGAATGCAATCGCATGATGTACTTTAACAAGAAAATTATAAATGTAATTTATTTGAACAATTAAAAAATATAGCAGAATAGTTGTGTTATTAGAATATCACATCATTAGCTTAGTAATATGAGGATAATTTATGCATAATTTACAAATGTACTTTAACTGGTTCATTATTCTTATAGAAAATCGTGCTATACGCACTTTCATGAGATCGGGTTGGCCTACAACAATTAATATGTTGGCTATTTTACAAATGGGAATACATACAACGAATTCATGACAACGTTTTACATTCACGCTACTCGTAAAATTTATAGTGAAAAGTACTTTAAAAGCGTCTGGAATGCAATAAAGTCATTTTTAAAGCTGTTTTTAAAGCACCAAATTCTTTAAATTTTAAGGTATTCAGAACAGAGCAACATAAAAATCAGAAAATATAAGCAGCTATACAATTATAGGACAAAGTTTTACATACTGTATATGCCATTATAATTTGTGTTATTCTTAATTGTACGGAATTAAAAAATAAAAATGCAAATTATAATCGGGCCTGTTTTAGGCTTTTCCTTTTAGACATCCATCAAGTATGGTGATGAAAAAAATGACTCGCCATCTCATTGGATGTGCCTTTAGAGAGAAATGCACTGATTACATAATGAAATTATTTCGTTTTAAAGTAGTAATTTAAAGCTTTCTATATATTTTTTATCATGACTGTGAGGCAATTCGCTGAGTTTAGGTTCATCATTGTGAAGCGCTCCTGTTCAAGACCGAGACGGCAGAAAGCGTTTGTTTTCTTTATTTTATAAAAGCACAAAGTTTTGTTGATATTGTGAGTGCTCACAAATAATACTAGCCCCTTTACAGTTTAGAATGATGTATTACTCTTACCTTTATGAGGAAAAATTTAAAGTTATTTGAAATAAATGAAAAAAATGCAAGTTATGGCGCTGGCGCCTCCATGTCCTGCAGAGCGCGCTTCAGCTTCCACTCTCCGCACAAACGATTGGATATGCGTCTAACAGCCCACATTTATATTTAAAGGGGTAAACATTTAAATTAACATTGTGATATGCTTGAACTGTTTTATACAGTATATAGATTTTATTTTAGGCAAGTTGTGATGATTTGAGAAGGCTAAACTGATCAAACATATAGGCTATGATCAATTCACTGTCTGCCGCTGGCCGTTACTTAAAAAAACTAAAATTGCTCCAAACGTTTTTCTAATTTAACTTTATTAAAAAACTAAACGAAATATAATCACCTTTCCATTACATACAAAACTGAACTATTACGTGTGACACATTCGTTCTGCTCTCAATGATCATTTGCCCCCCCCCCCTCATTACTGCATAATAATAATAATAATAATAATAATAAAGCAATTAAATAAGTAAATAAGAATGCTAAAATAAGTTCTAGGTTTGTAGTTATTTATGAAGAGTTCAGATGCAAAAGCCTCTAAGCACCCTCTAAAATTTTCTTCTAAAATGGTTATTTTCTCAGGATCCTATGTTTATGTTCAGTTATTTTACTTTAACGGGAAAAAAAAGAAACTATTCATTGCCTTTAAATTGAAATGACTGAACCTACACATAGGAGCCAAATGCTCATTTTAGAAGAACATTTCAAACGGCACTTAGAGGCTTTTGCATCTGAACTCTTCATATGAAGTAGTAATCAATTTACACTATTTGAAAATAATATTTTATTTTAAAATGTGCACATTCACTCTCATTCGTATGTCTAATAGTCGAAAATGCAGACGTCTCTTGTCACGTTCATTTATGAACGTAAATGATTACATGAATCATGATCGCATATTTTCAGTTCGAAACGGCGAAATTTCATTAAAAAGTTGAGTAGTTTGCATCACTAGATAGTCTATTACTGTCGGTCGCTGAACATTTGTTTCGTAAAACAGTTTTCTAATACAGATACAGTAGGCTACTCCTTACATCTTTCCACGAACTGTCGCTGTGTTGTGACAGTGACAGTAAGACCCGCCTTCTTTGATTTGATTGGCCATCTTGATCATTTTGACATTGACGAGCGCTGTTGGACCACTCAGGCAGACCAGCCTAAAAGTTTATCTTTTAAAACTTTTTGTCATCCTAACACCAGGTCTTATACTGTCTATCAGCTATGACTATTTTAGTCTTTTAAAGGACAAAATGGGTGGAAAAACAGTAATAAAAATTAGACATGAACAACATAAAATGCAGGCCGGGAGCGAGGCCCTCTAGAGGTGCGAGGCCCTGTGCGGTCGCACACTTGGCACAGCCCTTGCGACGGTACTGACTAGCTGCATATGGTGATATAGAAACTTCAGCTCAATAATGCATCAGTGGACGTCTCCTCTCCGTTGGACTCACCGTCGTCGTGGAAGTAGCCGACGGGACAGGTCTCCACACAGGTGCTCTCCTTCGAGTCGAAGTAAAGCCCTCTCCGGCAGGAGCGGCACTCGTTCGGCCTGCGAGCCACACACTTCTCACAGCCTCGGTGACAGCGGCGACATCTGCGGGCCTCTCCGTCCTCGAAATAACCCAGAGGACAGTGACTAACACACGTCCTGTGAAGAGGACAAGAGACACACGTGAAGAGAAGTTGAAGCATAAATCTCTTCGACGATGAGAAAAGCAAAACAGACTTTACTATACTCAATATACTGTATACAATATAAGATACATGATATCTAATATTTTACACCATTTTAAGTATACTTATAAAAGCAATAAGCCCCGTGAAGCCGTGGTTTACAGTGAATTTATAACAGCTAAGGGGCGTTGTTAGGCAGGACGTAAAGCGGAGTGCCTAAAACCCCCTTAGCTGTTATAAATTCACTGTAAACCACGGCTTCACGGGGCTTATTGCTTTTATAAAACGGTTATTCCATATACGTAGTACGGTTTCACAAAATAAAACAGAGCAAATAAAATGTAATGATATTAATAAAAACAGTATTCTTCCACCAAACAATGTAGTTCATCAGAAATAGTTGTGGTTGCAACAAAGTGGTTTCCGAGAAACACACAAAGTAAACAAAGGTGTGTGTTTATAGAGTAATTTACAACTGTTTCGAACGCGGCTCAACCAATCAGAATCAAGGACCGGAACTACCCGTTTTATAATCAAGTTTTTATAAATATATAATATAATATACAGTGGGGAAAAAAAGTATTTAGTCAGCCACCAATTGTGCAAGTTCTCCCACTTAAAAAGAAGAGAGAGGCCTGTAATTTTCATCATAGGTATACCTCAACTATGAGAGACAAAATGAGAAGAAAAAATCCAGAAAATCACATTGTAGGATTTTTAAAGAATTTATTTGCAAATTAGGGTGGAAAATAAGTATTTGGTCAATAACAAAATTTCATCTCAATACTTTGTTGGTGTCCTTTGACAGCTCTTTGGTCTTGGCCATGGTGGAGTTTGGAGTGTGACTGTTTGAGGTTGTGGACAGGTGTCTTTTATACTGATAACAAGTTCAAACAGATGCCATTAATACAGGTAACGAGTGGAGGACAGAGGAGCCTCTTAAAGAAGAAGTTACAGGTCTGTGAGAGCCAGAAATCTTGCTTGTTTGTAGGTGACCAAATACTTATTTTACCGAGGAATTTACCAATTAATTCTTTAAAAATCCTACAATGTGATTTTCTGGATTTTTTTTCTCATTTTGTCTCTCATAGTTGAGGTATACCTATGATGAAAATTACAGACCTCTCTCATCTTTTTAAGTGGGAGAACTTGCACAATTGGTGGCTGACTAAATACTTTTTTGCCCCACTGTACATATGTTACTATAAATACATACATTTATTAAAGTTCAGATATTTTTAATGAGAAATAGGACAACATTGTTATTTTAATATCATTGAGATACTCCGTTTTTTAACACTTAATATTTTGAACAAGTTTTTATTTTTATATTTTCATTTGAATTCTAGTTAAAAGTTTTAGTAAATTTTTTTTTTGCGTAATTTTGTCATTTTATATGTTTTTTTTGAATACGTCTACATGGTTGTTTATTATTATTTCAGTTTTAGTTTTCAAGTTAAAGTTAAACTAAATTTCTAATATTTTATTTTGATTCAGTTAAAGTTTATTTTATTTGAAATAATGAACATGTATTTTATGGTTTTAGTTGCAGTACACTATAATACTATAATAACCCTGCAGGGAAAAAACGAAGATAAAAAACCCCTCCCTCATTAATATCTCATAATATCTTACACAATTTTGTTTAAGTACATTTATTAAAGTAAGTTTAGATACTTTTAATGGGCAAGAGGGCAGCAGTGCTATTATCATTAAGATACTATTATAGTTTTTATTAATATTTTGAATTAGTTTTTTCGTCATTTTAAACACGTCGTAAATTTTTATTTCAGTTTTAGTTTTAATTATAACATCAAGTTAAACTAAATGAAAATATGAAATGTTTCCTTGGCAAGTTCACATTTCAAATGTAATTTTATTTTATTTTTTTCAAATAATGAAAATGTTTTTATTTTATATATTTTTTTATGGTTTATTTTTAGTCAACTATAACAATCCTACAGAGCAAAAAACAAAAAACTCATACTGTGATTTTGGACATACCGCCATTCACTATCTGTTAACACTAAACCGATTCAGAGTTGAAATATGTGACTCTGGACCACAAAACCAGCCATAACTGTACATTTTTCAAAATTGAGATTTGTACATAATCTGAAAGCTGAATAAATAAGCTTTCCATTGATGTATGGTTTGTTAGGATAGGACAATATTTAGCTGAGATACAACTATTTGAAAATCTGGAATCTGAGGGTACAAAAAAAATCTGAAAATTGCCTTTAAAGTTGTCCAAATGAAGTTCTTAGCAATGCATATTACTAATCAAAAATTAAGTTTTGATATATTTACGGTAGGACATTTACAAATATCTTCATGGAACATGATCTTTACTTAATATCCTAATGATTTTTGGCATAAAAGAAAAATCTATCATTTTGACCCATACAGTGTATTTTTGGCTATTGCTACAAATATACCCCAGCGACTTAAGACTGCTTTTGTGCTCTAGGGTCAGATATCATTCTGGTACCTGCCGGCCTTGAGGCTGCCCAGACTGAAGTGAATGCAGTTGAGGCAGTGATCGGCATCTGGTCCGTCGCAGCCCTGATCTCCACATTCAGGATGACACGGACCTGAAGTACAGTCACAAACCACAGATGCAGTAGATAATATAACATCTATATTTATTCATTTAACAGACACTCTGATTCAAAGCGACTTGCAAATGAGGAACATAACCAAGTCATCAAAGAGTTAACAATGTTCAGGTATGCCAGGTTTATCAGAATAATAAATCTCATAAGGTTGATATAGAGGATCACTTTTGGACAAGGAATAAAAGGTTGTCTACATTTTTACAGTAAGTAGTCAAGTCAAGCCACCTTTATTTATAAGATACAGATTGTGTCAAAGTAGCTTTACAGCATTAAACAGGATAATAGTGTGTCGATAATGCAAAAGTAATATATGTCTAACGTGCATTTATGTTTCAGTTGTTTACATGGTTTCCAGGTTGAAGTCATCGTTTATTTTACACTATCAACAAGCAACAGTTACCATCATATTTATATATAAAATACATACAGTATTAATTTTATCATACTATTTATTAAAACTGAGTCACATCAAAATCCTATCAAGAGTTCGAGAATTTTGGAAAAAATATTTCGCTTCAATATTAAGACATTTTTATGTAGCTCATATTTGTTTGGCTTATATTTTGAACCATTAATAAACTAAATGTCCAGGATACATCACCTGATCCTTGTGCGTGCTTCTTCTCATTTGTAAAGAGTTTAAAATACATTTTTAAATATACACTACCGTTCAGAAGTTTGGGGTTAGTACGATTTTTAATCAAATAAACACTTTCATTCAGCAAAGATGCATTAAATTGATCAAAAGTGACTGTAAAGACATTTATAATGATTTCTATTTCAAATACATCCTGTTTTTAAACTTTCTATTTATCAATAAATCGTGAAAAAATTATGTTTACTCAAAAATATCAAGCAGCACAACTGTTCTCAACATTGATGATAATAAGATAATGTTTCTTGAGCAGCAAATCAGCATATTAGAATGATTTCTGAAGGATCACGTGACACTGAAGACTGGAGGAATGATGCTGAAAATACAGCTTTGATCACAGGAATAAATTATATTTGACAATATATTACAATAGAGAAAGGCTATTTTAAATCATAATAATATTTCACTGTTTTTACTGTATTTTTGATCAAATAAATGCAGCTTTGGTGAACATAAGATTAAAAAATTTAAAAAACTCTCACCGACCCCAAACTTTTGAACTTGTTTAGGTATTACTGTGAGTACCATTATATTCCTCCTCTTCCTCCTCTTCATGCTCAGGGGCTCCTGGCACAGAATCTGGGTTTTTCAGCTCCTTGCCTGCTGTGGGAATCTCCAGTGAGTGCGAGTGCTGGGAACTCTGGGATTGGTAGGGGTGCTCAGTCGTGCCGTGAAGGATTAGTGTCCACTCCTTCAGCTTACCTGACAGAGAAGAAAGAGCAAGACACCAAGCCAAATAAATAAGCTTTCCATTGATGTATGGTTTGTTAGGATAGGACAATATTTAGCTGAGATACAACTATTTGAAAATCTGGAATCTGAGGGTACAAAAAAAATCTGAAAATTGCCTTTAAAGTTGTCCAAATGAAGTTCTTAGCAATGCATATTACTAATCAAAAATTAAGTTTTGATATATTTACGGTAGGACATTTACAAATATCTTCATGGAACATGATCTTTACTTAATATCCTAATGATTTTTGGCATAAAAGAAAAATCTATCATTTTGACCCATACAGTGTATTTTTGGCTATTGCTACAAATATACCCCAGCGACTTAAGACTGCTTTTGTGCTCTAGGGTCAGATATCATTCTGGTACCTGCCGGCCTTGAGGCTGCCCAGACTGAAGTGAATGCAGTTGAGGCAGTGATCGGCATCTGGTCCGTCGCAGCCCTGATCTCCACATTCAGGATGACACGGACCTGAAGTACAGTCACAAACCACAGATGCAGTAGATAATATAACATCTATATTTATTCATTTAACAGACACTCTGATTCAAAGCGACTTGCAAATGAGGAACATAACCAAGTCATCAAAGAGTTAACAATGTTCAGGTATGCCAGGTTTATCAGAATAATAAATCTCATAAGGTTGATATAGAGGATCACTTTTGGACAAGGAATAAAAGGTTGTCTACATTTTTACAGTAAGTAGTCAAGTCAAGCCACCTTTATTTATAAGATACAGATTGTGTCAAAGTAGCTTTACAGCATTAAACAGGATAATAGTGTGTCGATAATGCAAAAGTAATATATGTCTAACGTGCATTTATGTTTCAGTTGTTTACATGGTTTCCAGGTTGAAGTCATCGTTTATTTTACACTATCAACAAGCAACAGTTACCATCATATTTATATATAAAATACATACAGTATTAATTTTATCATACTATTTATTAAAACTGAGTCACATCAAAATCCTATCAAGAGTTCGAGAATTTTGGAAAAAATATTTCGCTTCAATATTAAGACATTTTTATGTAGCTCATATTTGTTTGGCTTATATTTTGAACCATTAATAAACTAAATGTCCAGGATACATCACCTGATCCTTGTGCGTGCTTCTTCTCATTTGTAAAGAGTTTAAAATACATTTTTAAATATACACTACCGTTCAGAAGTTTGGGGTTAGTACGATTTTTAATCAAATAAACACTTTCATTCAGCAAAGATGCATTAAATTGATCAAAAGTGACTGTAAAGACATTTATAATGATTTCTATTTCAAATACATCCTGTTTTTAAACTTTCTATTTATCAATAAATCGTGAAAAAATTATGTTTACTCAAAAATATCAAGCAGCACAACTGTTCTCAACATTGATGATAATAAGATAATGTTTCTTGAGCAGCAAATCAGCATATTAGAATGATTTCTGAAGGATCACGTGACACTGAAGACTGGAGGAATGATGCTGAAAATACAGCTTTGATCACAGGAATAAATTATATTTGACAATATATTACAATAGAGAAAGGCTATTTTAAATCATAATAATATTTCACTGTTTTTACTGTATTTTTGATCAAATAAATGCAGCTTTGGTGAACATAAGATTAAAAAATTTAAAAAACTCTCACCGACCCCAAACTTTTGAACTTGTTTAGGTATTACTGTGAGTACCATTATATTCCTCCTCTTCCTCCTCTTCATGCTCAGGGGCTCCTGGCACAGAATCTGGGTTTTTCAGCTCCTTGCCTGCTGTGGGAATCTCCAGTGAGTGCGAGTGCTGGGAACTCTGGGATTGGTAGGGGTGCTCAGTCGTGCCGTGAAGGATTAGTGTCCACTCCTTCAGCTTACCTGACAGAGAAGAAAGAGCAAGACACCAAGCCATGAGGAGGGACAAAGAAACTTCTGCTATGCATTCCAATGAATCACATCAAATCCTGACGAGAAAGAGCACAGGATGATCTGCAGCAGGACTCAAAGGTTTGCAATAAGCAAAAATGTCATTCATGTCAGACAGCAACATAATTGATGCAAGTACATGAACGCAAACAATTCCAATTAAGCTAAAAAGAAGAAATCAGTGTAGAAAATGTGGGAAAATGTCCATCTAGGTCTGCTAATGAGAATTAATTTCGATTAGGATGCGGACATAGAACTCAGCTGCCTGTGAAGTAAGAAAATTAGCTTATAGGTTTTAAGAACACAGCCAGTGTAATATGTTATACGTTTTATTGGTTCCTTTTTTGCAAAACATGATGTAAAAAGTAAAGCTACAATTACTACATGTAGTACTGAGAGTCAAAGCGATTTCCGAAACAGTCAAATAAAATAAAAATATTCATAATAATAAAAAAATACAATAATTATAAATAAAATATTATATGAAATATCTTTTAAAATACATTTAATTGAATTAAATAAACATTATTTTTTAATAAAAATTATAAAATAACAATGATAAAAATAAAAAAGAAAATTACAATAAGACTCAATTTTAAATAATAAAAAATTAAGATAATTATTAAAAAGATAATTATTTAATATAAATATTTTTAACAGAATTAAAAAAGAAAATTCAAATATTAAAATTAAATAAAAATAGAAATAAAAAAAATAAAAATACATAAATAGTAAAACAAAATAATGAAATCTAAAATTAAATTAAATAAAAATATAAAAATTAAATGCATAATAAAAATAAATACAATTTAAATAATAAAATGAAATATTCTGTAATATTAAAAAGCACAAAATAAAATTATAACAATGAAATCTAAAATAAAAAAAAATAAATAAACAAATATATAAAAAATATAAAAATAAAATAAAAAAATACTAGTTTTATAAGAAGTAGTGAATGGTGAGAGCATTTCACATGTGCAGAATGGTGCAAAACTAAATACAGTGTGAAAGCAAAGTAGTATTGAAGGGACAATCAAATTCAACTTCATATTGAGCTTTATATTGAATATAATTAGGCTCTGAATTTGGGAATACAGTCAGATATTTAAGTCAGATGTTTATATTATGTCTAGACTGGACATGATTGGCACTGCAGCACACTGATGTTATGCTGTCTACACTGGAAGCATATTGAGCATGATGCTGGTCTGAACCTCATTCCTCCATTCCTTACCCAACACCTCAGGGTTACGCAGCTGAGACGGCGAGTCTGAAATCTCCAGCGTCCACGTGCCCTCCGCTCTCTCCCCCCAGCAATGAACCGTCATGAACTCCCAGTTCCTGAAGCCCTCGTTGGAGTTATCAAACAATCTGGAAGACAGAAGAAACAGAGGTCAACGCTTCCGAGAGAATAATGAAAATAAGGCGATAAGACAACACAAAGTCATGTGTTACGCTGCATCACCAGTAACTGCTTGTTATTCACAGTGACGATCTCTCAAAAGAATCTGAACCTCCTCAATAATAGATGCTAAATTAACCAACTAAAGCGTAAAACTTTACTAACAAACTAAAGTGATTAAATGAACTGTTTCTAACTAATGTGATTTGGAATGACACGAGGGTGAGTAAATGACAGAATTGATCATTTTTGGTTATCCATTTAAAGTATTTCAGAGTGAAACAAGATATTCAATGAGAATAAAAGGGGCGTGGCTCTATTCTATCAACAACACACAAATAAACAACAGAACCATATACTGTATATGCAATATGATTCATAGACCTTTAACCATACAGATTTGCCTTAAAGAAAAAAAATATACTAATCATACTACTACTACTACTAATAATCATTTTTCAGGCTTTTTTATAATTAATTAAATAATTAAAAAATCTAGCAAATTTCTACACACCCTGATCTATTAAATTGATCCATTACCAGATTTTCCTTCAAATAAATATAAGACAAACATAAATACTTTTTCAGGCTTTAGGGTAAAGCATAACAATTAAATATGATATTATAACTTTCTGCTAGGAGATTATCCGTTATTCCTTCATACACTCTAAAAAATGCTGGGTTGTTTCAACCCAATGTTGGGTCAAATATGGACTAACCCAACTGTTGGGTTAAATTTTGGTTACATTTTTAAATGATCTTTTTAACCCAACAGTTGGGTTAGTCCATATTTGACCCAACATTGGGTTGAAACAACCCAGCATTTTTTAGAGTGTACTAACCCTATTTTTATGGGCATTTTTAATGCAGATAGACTTATCTGCCAAATTATTGTGTATAAAACAACAAAAGAGAAATACCAAAATAAATGCATAACAGCATCCATCTATGATTATTTCTGTAACCTTCATTCCATTAACAAACATTAACTAATGCATTACCTACAACCAAAATTAATTACTAAAAGCTACACTCTAAAAAATGCTGGGTTAAATACAACCCAGTGCTGGGCAAAATAGGGACAAACCCAGCAATTGGGTTGTTTTGACCCAGGGGTTGGGTTACTACCCAGAAGGTTGGGTTAAACATTTAACACAACCGCTGGGTCAAAACAACCCAATTGCTGGGTTTCTCCTTATTTTACCCAGCACTGGGTTGTATTTAACCCAGCATTTGACCTGACCTCATACTGATAAAACACTCCACCCCTTGAGCTCCGTCCACAATCACACCACTAATGAGAGCTTTGCAAAGCCGCCGTTTCTGAACTTTTCTGAACAGGCTTGGGCAGTATTTTATTTTGCACATTACATCTGTGCGCTTTCTTCTCCAGCCACCAAACGAGGCGTCTGCGAGATGGTAAATCTGACCTGCGTTTGGCTCTGGCAGCGTGCATGTTGAATAAATTAGCTGAAGGGAGGTCCCGACCACTGCATCCCTCCCCATAATTCAAGGCAAATGTCTTTCCTGGCAATTCGCAGGTGTTATACAGATGACGCTCCATTGACTCCACAATGCGACTCTCAGCGCTGAATGGCCGGGGTGAGAGAGCAGCACTCGGGGCGACCGGTGGCCGTTAATAAATGCTCTCTGAACGCGGGAAGCCCCATTAGGCTGTCACGTCTGTTATCACAAAAGCAGACGCGCAGTGGGAGATGTTTGTGCAGGGGAGGATTTTGACAGCTCTTCCGTCTCCACGCGTTAAATAAGACATGGAACGTCAAAACAATACGCTTTCTGTGGAGGACTGAGAATGGAGGGACGTTCATGAAGACAAACGAGTTGTTACGGACAGAAGACGGCTCTGGCATTTTATTTTGCCAAACATTTTTGAAGAGACACGTTTCCTTCAAAAAAAAAAAAAAGGTTGTGAGACATCCTCCAAACCATGAACAAAACTATGCAAGCTTTTTATAAATATATAAATGAATTAATTAAAATACAGTGTATTCAAAGTATACAGATTTTTTTTCCAGATTTTGTTATGTTGCAGCCTTATGCTAAAATACTTTAAATTATTTTATACATTTGATTTGAGTGATATTTTTGCCATTTAAAAGTCTGAAGAGCCACATTTCCGCCAATGTAATATCTTGCAAAACTAAAAGTTGTGTAATATCCTCCAAAACCAAGGAACAAAAATATTTAAGATTTAAAATAATAACTGTAATAATAGAAAGAAAAAACAAACAAACATACAAATAAATAATAGTGCATTCAGAAAGTGCTCATATCTTATTATGTTTCATATTTTATATTGTAGAATTATGCTAAAATACTTAAAATTACTTTATACATTTGATTTTAGTGACTTTTTTGACATCTAAATGTCTGAAGAGCCATATAAGTTGGGGGAAACGCAAGATTCATAATAATAAATAAATAAAGTCCGTTCAAAAAGTATTAAGACCCATTCATTTTTTCACATTTTGTTATGTTGCACGAAGCTTCTTGTGTGACAGAAACCAGCGCAGCCAGATCAGACCCCATCAGCCTGTGTGGACTCCTCTAGAATACACTACTGTAAAAGCAGCATATTACCACATTAGTGTTTCTATGAGGGAAACTCAAGTTCTTGGACACTACAAGTGAAAGCACCATAAAAGACAACCTAAACAACCTGTGTGCTATATTGAAAGACTTCTGAAGTCATCCAGTTTAACATCTTTGTATGAGAAAACAAAGTGCTTGTTGTATGATGTGCTTTCTTAAAAACAGATATAAATTTAAAGAAACACGCTGGTGCTTGGCGCACTTTCTTCTCTATCGCAATGAGCTGCAGTGCTCAAGCGGATGATGCAAGATCAAACTCTTTCATCATTTCCTGTCCTCTCGCCACAATCCAGCCGATAAAAGGCAGAAGCCACTAAAACTCCTGACCTGCGTTTGGCTCTGGCAGCGTGCATGTTGAATAAATTAGCTGAAGGGAGGTCCCGACCACTGCATCCCTCCCCATAATTCAAGGCAAATGTCTTTCCTGGCAATTCGCAGGCGTTATACAGATGACGCTCCATTGACTCCACAATGCGACTCTCAGCGCTGAATGGCCGGGGTGAGAGAGCAGCACTCGGGGCGACCGGTGGCCGTTAATAAATGCTCTCTGAACGCGGGAAGCCCCATTAGGCTGTCACGTCTGTTATCACAAAAGCAGACGCGCAGTGGGAGATGTTTGTGCAGGGGAGGATTTTGACAGCTCTTCCGTCTCCACGCGTTAAATAAGACATGGAACGTCAAAACAATACGCTTTCTGTGGAGGACTGAGAATGGAGGGACGTTCATGAAGACAAACGAGTTGTTACGGACAGAAGACGGCTCTGGCATTTTATTTTGCCAAACATTTTTGAAGAGACACGTTTCCTTCAAAAAAAAAAAAAAGGTTGTGAGACATCCTCCAAACCATGAACAAAACTATGCAAGCTTTTTATAAATATATAAATGAATTAATTAAAATACAGTGTATTCAAAGTATACAGATTTTTTTTCCAGATTTTGTTATGTTGCAGCCTTATGCTAAAATACTTTAAATTATTTTATACATTTGATTTGAGTGATATTTTTGCCATTTAAAAGTCTGAAGAGCCACATTTCCGCCAATGTAATATCTTGCAAAACTAAAAGTTGTGTAATATCCTCCAAAACCAAGGAACAAAAATATTTAAGATTTAAAATAATAACTGTAATAATAGAAAGAAAAAACAAACAAACATACAAATAAATAATAGTGCATTCAGAAAGTGCTCAGATCTTATTATGTTTCATATTTTATATTGTAGAATTATGCTAAAATACTTAAAATTACTTTATACATTTGATTTTAGTGACTTTTTTGACATCTAAATGTCTGAAGAGCCATATAAGTTGGGGGAAACGCAAGATTCATAATAATAAATAAATAAAGTCCATTCAAAAAGTATTAAGACCCATTCATTTTTTCACATTTTGTTATGTTGCAGTCTTATAAAATAACTTAAAGCCTTACATGCTGCATGTTTGATTTTAGTGGCATTCTTGGCATTTCATGTCTGAAGAGCCACATTTCCCAGAAGAAACAGTTGTGTGATATCCTCCAATCCATGAATAAAACTATGCAAGATTTTTTAGAAATAAACAAGTAAAAAACTTTTAAATCAAATAAACCTTAATAGTTTTTTCTTCAGATTTTATGCTGCAGCCTAATGCTAAAATGCTTAAAATTATTTTACATATTTGATTTGATTGACTTTTTAATGACACTGGTAGCTTCACATTTTCCCCCCCAATATAATTTGTGTAATATCCTCCAAAACCAAGAACAAAACTATGCAAGATTCCAAACAATAACTGTAATAATAGAAAAAAATAAATAAAGTGCATTCAGAAAATACGTTAAGTTTTTAACATTTTGTATTACATACTTTTAGATTTGATTTCAGTTACATTTTTATCATTCAAATGTCTAAAGAGACATATTTCTCCCATTAAATGTTGTGTAAAATCCTCCAAAATTAAATTAAACACAATTAAATGACTAGTGCATTCAGAAATTATTCGGACCACATTATTTATGTTGCAGCCTTATGCTAAAATACTTGAAATTATTTGATATATTTCATTTTGTTGACATTTTTGTTTACTTATGTACGATGTACGTTCTGGTCCTCGGTAAGATTTGGGTGCTGTGCAGAAGCGTGTGAGAGTTTTATTCATGAGGGTTATGAGAATGATGCTCAGGATCTCTCAGTGCTCATAACCGTGCGGGAAAACCAGGACCAGCAGAGAGGATATCAAACCTCTGCGTGATTGACAGCACGAAGCTTCTTGTGTGACAGAAACCAGCGCAGCCAGATCAGACCCCATCAGCCTGTGTGGACTCCTCTAGAATACACTACTGTAAAAGCAGCATATTACCACATTAGTGTTTCTATGAGGGAAACCCAAGTTATTGGACACTACAAGTGAAAGCACCATAAAAGACAACCTAAACAACCTGTGTGCTATATTGAAAGACTTCTGAAGTCATCCAGTTTAACATCTTTGTATGAGAAAACAAAGTGCTTGTTGTATGATGTGCTTTCTTAAAAACAGATATAAATTTAAAGAAACACGCTGGTGCTTGGCGCACTTTCTTCTCTATCGCAATGAGCTGCAGTGCTCAAGCGGATGATGCAAGATCAAACTCTTTCATCATTTCCTGTCCTCTCGCCACAATCCAGCCGATAAAAGGCAGAAGCCACTAAAACTATAAAGTGGTTGTTATGTGCTGGTGTGTTCTGTATCACCTCTGAGCCAGCAGCTGTGATCGCGTCCCTGAGGGGGATACGAGGCTGATCTCCAGGTCTCCTCTGCGCGGGTGGACGATGAGGACGCGCACCACCACGTGCTCCAGAAACACCACCTGCTGATCGGGCTGATCGCTGCAGCCGCTGCTCGAGATGCTGGCGTTCAGCTTCTGATCTGCTCGAATGTACCTGCAGGAGGATCCAAGGGGGTCAGCGGAGAACGGGTCCGAATGTAAAACACAGATCTGTTAGGCTGATTAGGCTGTCAAGATGTGTGTATATCATACGAAACACGGATTAAAAAAACATCAGGTTATATGTGACCCTGGACCATAAAACCAGTCTTAAGTCGCTGGGGTATATTTGTAGCAATAGCCAACAATACATTGTATGGGTCAAAAATATAGATTTTTCTTTTATGCCAAAAATCATTAGGATATTAAGTAAAGATCATGTTCCATGAAGATATTTTGTACATTTCCTACTGTAAATATAATAAAACTTAATTTTTGATTAGTAATATGCATTGCTAAGAACTTCATTTGGACAACTTTAAAGATGATTTTCTCAATATTAAGATTCAGATTCCAGATTTTCAAATAGTTGTATCTCGACCAAATATTGTTCTATCCTAACAGTACCATACATCAATGGAAAGAGTATTTATGTATAAGTTTCAGTTTCAAAAAGTGGCCCTTATGACTGGTTTTGTGGTGCAGGGTCACATATGAAAGTATAGATAATAAATAGTTACTGATTTTAAAAACATTGTAAAAAGCTTTCAGACACTAGATGTCTCCTATTTTTAAAGGGAAGCATATTTTTTAAAAGGAAAGTATGAATTAAATAAGTGGATGGTAATTTATACTGTCAAAAAGGTAAAATAACACTATAAATGTACCATAAACCAGGGATATAACAGATAAATAAATAAATAAAAATAAAACCAAAACCAAAAATAAACTTGAAATAAAAGAAACTTTAAGCAAAATTAAATCAAATTAAACAAAACTTAAAGTCAGGGATTTTATAGTGAATTAAAACTAAAAGCATATCAAAATATATAAAACTAACTAAAAATTAAAATGAAAATATAAAAATAAAAACGTAATAAAAACTATAATACTATCTCAATTACACATTGTTATTATTATTATTTTATATAAAAACACTGGCATAAAAATAGGCCTTAAAACTCATGCGCTCTATTTCATGTATTCTGAAGTCAAATGATAGCTTTGTGTGAGATGCAAGTAGAAATTTATGTTTATTAATCTCCATATGAACTCCATTATAGCTGATTGATGACTTTTATGCTGCATTTTTGCTCTTTTATACAGCTTGGCAATGAATATCAACATCCACGTTCAATGCATGAAAAAGTTTCACAAAAGGAAAAATATAATATGAACGACACGAGGACGAATAAATGATAACTTGCAACGCAGAAAATGCATTCTCTCCATGACACGTGTAACGTAAATACATCATTTTTATATGTTATAGTTGTAATATACTCAAGTATACATCTTAAAAACATTGAATAAAAATAATATATAAATATGTATATAGATTTAATACATCTTGTGTACTTTCATGAAGAATAGCAATAAATCTGGAAAAACAACACTACTGGTTTATAAAGCGACTAAACTACATTTCCCATAATCCTTTGTGCAGCTAGAACGTCAATCACACCCCTAATGGGGATTGTTAAGCTAAAATAAAAAAGTAATAAAGAAGTATTAAATTGCCTGACCCGTTGATTTTATTCCAACCCAAATCATTTAAATCACATCGTAAGCATCAGAATGTCTGTGTTACACATAACCTTCCCCTTAATAGTGTGAAAAATAATAAAACCAAGCACACACATTGTCATATTTACTCTTCCACAATGTCGTTTCATGGCTCATTAAGCTGCGGGATCATCTATTCTCGTTTTGGATATTAAAGACTTTTTTCCTTGGGAGTGACACCGTTTCAAAGGCTTTATAATGGCGGCTGCACCGGTTTATGGCTGTGCTGATAAACAACAGCGCACAGATGGCAGCTAAATTAGTCACTTGAGGTCTGAGCCATTATTTAGCACACGTTCAGAAGCAGCATCACCCAGAAATTCGCTATAGGTGGAGATTACGCTACAGCCTCGTTTCAATCTCGAGACTGACATTCAAAGGAAAACATGCTTAAAATGGAAGGCTGCGCCTCTTCAATTTAACAGGACAGCTTGAGGTGAAAGTTTCAGCTGGAACACGGTGGGAAACGGCATCCATATGGAGACCAGGCATTTCCCTGGGTTTCAACTCGCACAGAAAAAAAAACAAACAGTTGTTAGATATATCTTTAAAAAATATTTCAAAATATACATAAAAATTTGCTACGATTTATTGAATAATATACGAAAATATTTAATAAAATATTAATAGATAAATATATTAAAATATTATTAATTTATTATTTAAAATAAAATACATTTAAAATAAATATAAATCTAAATAATAATACTGAAAATGAAGGAAAAAGTATGAAATAATAATAAATTAAAGCTAAATAGAAATAGAGGGGGAAAAAAATATATATATATATATACAGTTGGGCAAATAAGTATTTGATACACTGCCGATTTTTCAAGTTTTCCCACTTACAAAGAATGGAGAGATCTGTAATTTTCATCGTAGGTACACCTCAACTGTGAGAGACCGAAT